GTCGTCCTTTCCCCTGTGAGCCTGCTTCCGTGGTCATGTTCCATCGGATGAGCTGTTCTGCTAGCATCCTGAGCGTGTCAGCGAGGAGCGCGACAGATCGAGCGAGAGCGCACTTCTCGGAGTGTTCCGACATGAGCGCTCTCAGCCTTCTCACTCTGTCCTGGCCGCCGAGCTAATGGCTCCAAGATGCCCATCCCAACCGCTCTTGTTCCTCAGGCCGTCTCAGGTTCTGACAGGACCTCTTTCATTACCCCCAGTAGCTTGGCTACGTAGCTAGACGCTTCCCTATCAGCGTCGCTCCGACCTTCCGAATCGGCTGACCGAGGCGTTCCCAGTTTCCGCGGGAACGCCTCCACTTCCTCTGACGCGGGCCTCCTCCTGTTCGCCACTGGCGGCGGTACTAGGCGCGCTTGTCTTCCTTGTTGGTCTCGGCTTGGAATTGTGACTCGGGCAGAAGTGGAGACGACCATACTGCACCTTCTTCCCTAGTTGCACTGCCGTGTCCCTCACCAGACCAACCGTGGGCGTTCATAGCGTTCACACTTCCTTTTTCCTCCCTCTCTGGCGTTTCGTTACCAAAGGGGCGGCTCACACCGCGTTTACGTTCCTAGGATTGTTCGGCGTGAAGATACCCGGTTTCACCACCAAATTGTCGTGGTAACCCACCTTAGGTCGAGGTAGTGTATCTAGCAAGCCGACGTAGGAACTTAGGTTTATCACGCAAACGTAAATCTGTTGTTGTATTCTTGAGTACTTCGCTGGTAAGAAGGAAAATCACGACTGAGCTTCTACCTAAAGCTCCAAGCTGAGCACTAGGCTCCTTACCTTTTGTAAACCACTACCACGTGGAGGTCCAATGCAAATTCCCACCCTTGTCGACAGCCAGGCGTTCCGCCCTAGGCTTGGAACACCGCTGATTGGGCCGGGGGGGGGCACAGTTGATTGGACGTGGCCTGCGACTTCTGCAGCAGGCAGATCTTCCGAACGCAGTCCGAGAGAATGGCGAGTCCTCCTTCTAGCTGTGTACCGTGGCAGTAGTACCGACACCGGTTCCTGAACGAAGCTTCAGTGTTAGCTCTTTTGTATATTTTTAACAGTGTTGTACCGATATGTTAGATTTTTTCTGGCCAGTTTAAGCGTTTGGAGGTGATCCGAGTCACCATAAAAACGAAATTGTCGATGATATATTTTTGGACATTCTATCTTTGGGTCGCTGTATAACCAAACGTACGCACCAGCATCGTCTTAAAAAAACTACATAAATGCTAACTTTTTTATGATCTGTGCGTCAATCTTTCTATGAAAAAGCACACATAAAAATGAAATAGAATGCCAATTATCGTCATCTGTGCGTCAACATGCTTGAATAACATGCCATTTTTCGTTCGATATTTTCATCGTTTTTCGACGACATCCCGGGCTAGCAGCATTCGTGATCAATTCATAACGCCGTGGCCGACCTGCTAGTCCATGGCTGCGCATTTCCTGTCCACGGGAATAATTTCTCAGCTTAAGCGCTTTGGTAAAAACAATTTGCAAAACTATTTTCAGCGCACTGGATCTAGTGTTTGTGCTATTTGTTATATTATAAGTCGGCCGACAGAAATCACAGCCGCTGAGGTGCTAGCCAATAGTTTTCGTAAGCAACAGCTTCTGCGGTTGCTCGTTAGCTCTGCTAGTCTTGCACTATGAATTTGGGGGTGTATTTCTCCTGATGTTGATTGGTGAATGTAAGCTGCATGTATTCTTCACTAAGCTTAACATTATATGCTCTATTTATCGTATGAAACGTTTGATGTACAAGCAGGTTTAAAGTGCGTTTTTTGCCTGGTGTTCGGAAGCCGACCATTTCGACTGATGCGCCTTGTTAAAATAAGCTAGATACATTCATTATTTAAATAGATCAATTTCGATTCGTGACAATCCTCTCAGTTTTGGGTACCCGGGCCCAGGTGCCCGGGGGCTCGCACCTCTCAGCAAGGGTCAATAGCATGCTTTTTCGGCAAACTACAATATTAGAACAGTATAACCGCCTACAAAACTAAAACTCGTGTACTATTAGCGAGACGGGGAAAATACTCCTTCGTACTGGAGAAGAAATTATATTGCTGCACTATTATTAATATTGCCGACCACCTAATTATCTAGACAATAATGGCCTCTTTATTCATTTAGGACAAGAGGACAGCGGCCATCTAAATGACCCGCGGCTATATTAAACAGAAGAATGAAAAGACTGTACAGTGGTCGACAGCATCGAGGACGCTTTTTTATCCTTGCATAAAATTACATGCATCTCTTCACCGTCTTCATGCGATTATATATCTCGCTGATTTCTGTCGGGCCGTTGTTTCAGAAACTTGCTTTTAAGTAAGTTCTTATAAACGAGTTGATTACCCCTTATAAGGTACAAATTATGTTTGCTTATGTAATTTTTGCGAGCTATTGACCAATCAAAATGCAAATCTATTATAAACTTTCTCCTAGTCAGATTCGTTTTCACTATCACAAGAAGACTCATTGCACGAATCCATGGCTTCAAGATGCTTCTTGAGCTTAGTCAACTGCCTGTTCGCGGCATCAATGCAGCCTTGCACTGAAACTGGTGAGATATTCTCGAAAGCACGCTGAAGTCTAAGCTTAATATCTGCAAAGGTAGTCTTAGTCGAGTACTGGCGCCCAACCTCGCCTTTCACGTTAGCCAAAACGATTTACAATAGGCTGTAAATTACATGTGGTAGGGCAGTGTGAATATGATTTCGTGACCTTTTTCTCTTGCTTTGTCGACTATCACCGGAGCTACATTGTCTTTGATGTGCTTTGAGAGTATATTCCACACTATTGCTTTCGTTGCGTTGGTTGGAATCTCCAATTTGTAGTCGCTCGTAGCGCTAATCATTTTTGCTCTCCTGCTACCCTGCTTGGGAGTCGTTTCTGATAGTAATTTATGATACTTTGCAATCCATCACAATAATGCAGTTAGACAGCTCTCTGATAGACAATGCTTCAAGTAAGGTATCCATCCAGCCCATAAAATATTCATGGCAGAACATGCCATGTTAATCTGCAGACTGCTTACCACCCTTGAAAATTTCCACTGTGTCAAGTAACAGCTCTGCTTCTTTATCAGCTAGCCTCTCGCCATCATTAACGGAACGGTCCTTGTCAAGGATCGCAGCAATAAAACACAACCGCCGTCCCTTATGCTTCTCCTTCACATACTTCTCATCTGTAGTGTCGACTAGCGAATCGTTGTGTCTCGAATAGTGGTGGTGTATGTAGCTCTCGTCCATATAGACGACACAACAAGACAGAATCTCGCAAGAGGTCATTTCTTGCACATATTCCGCCCTTGCCAAATCGTTGATTGGCGATAATCTGATACCTTTGCCTTTTTGAGCACCGCGCGAGTAATTTTCCTTCTTAAGGAGCCGCTGAACTGTTCGAATGGCGGTATTGATGCTGTCTGTATTTGATATATCCACCGATAGATAGCTCTCTTCTGCTAGCAAATGCATACGTTCTTCGCTGTTGTTCGTGTCCTCGTCTCAGATCGACTCCGTATAAATCCACGCACTTCTTCCTGCATTGCTAGCGAGTTTGGCAGTCGTGAGATGCGGTCTCCTCGGTTAGCCGGTTGTGCAGCCGTGAATACAGTCCCATGCGACAGAAATGAGGACCCAATTTCACCACACGTCTTGTTGGAGCGACCAAGTAAACGAGCAATTTAGTTGGTAATAGTCTCTTTCCGAGGTATAATTGCATTATCCACACGTAAATTAGCCTGTAGCACGAGAATATCCAATATTTCTTCTTTAGTGAAAGCCTTGTTACGATGCGCTCTCACAAACGCGATGGCTCGACCGGCATTCTCCGCTTCTTGACGAGTCTTCTTTCCTTTTCGCGGGGACGCCATGTGCACTCGACAGCCAGACTTGAAATGTTGGGTTTCGAGTTTAGTGCTATTTTGACTACCCCGATTTGCAATTGGCAAGTCTGACCCCCTCTTCAAGATGATATATTAATCGCAGTCGTGTTTGTTACAATATAGACATCTACAGTCCAAATACATTGATACTTTTGGGAGGATGACCAGTAAGGTTGTGATAAAATCTGTTAAAACATGTTACGACGCAGGTTCTGAAAATTGCAGGACGCGATTGGGCACATATATAGCCAGACAATAGCTCCGGCTCTCCTAGATATTGGATTTGAAACGAATAAAAATTGATGACGCAACGTCAAAAAGCGTCCTCGATGCTGTCGACCACTGTTAATACTGGGAATGCATTTAGGTATGGACAGGACTAATTTCACGGTACTGCGTAACTCGCTTTTTGTCATCTCGCTCAGGATACATTTTGTTGTAAGCCGATTGTTGACCCAATGTTGAACAGTCAGGGCTGAAAGGTATCTTTACGATACATTCGCATAACAACAGCTCTGCCGCATCCCAGATATGGCGACGAACCAACTATGAAGCCGATCGGAAAAGACTAGGCTGGGAGTTAGCCAACACGCAGTTTGGCCAAGCCTGGAGAAAAATCAGCATATGAAATGTGAAGTTCTATTTTGTTTAAAAACGTTTTTGTAACGAGTCTCGGGACGCCTGCTCGCCGGCGGGTCGCACCGCTGACTGTCACCGTCTGTCGGTGAGCTGCCAGGATTCCGAGGCTCGAATGCAATCAACACTGTGCTATGACAATGTTGATTGTGAAGGGCTCCTCACCGACAATCCATATTAAATATATATTTTCCGGTCCCTGACATGCACATCAATCGGCTTTATGCGCGCGATCCGCAATACTTGGATTCGCCCGAAGCTTCGTCACCAGTTTAGATTTGAAGTAAACATCGTTTGGTACCGGTAAGGCTGGAAGACGGAAACGTTTTATCAGTACCAGTAGGATCGAAATATAGTACTATTATGGAACTAATTAATACCGAATTAATACTAAACTTATATAGAAGCTAGTAGTTTGCCGAGCAAAGACAACAACTACTAGTAGTAACTACTATTACATTAGCTCCTGAGCGGCTAGTAATAGCACCGCTTTATGAGCTTGTATGACAAGCACCAGTCGTTTCGCCTAGCCTAATGAGTGATCATTCTATCTTTTATTTGGAATCCAAGACGTCGTATGAACAGCCGACCCCTGTAGGCCAGCATTTTGAGATTGTCAACAACTAGATCGTCTTCGACTTAGATGGGAATACCAGTGTTTTTTCACGTAGCATTTCCAACTGTTTTATTAGTGTTCCAAGCCGCGGCGAGTGGAACTTTGTTCTGCCGTGACCTTGTGGCGGTAAATAGATGCGAAAAAAAACATCTCTGAAACGCCATTAAGTAGAGTTTAAATGAATTCCGTTACATACTAATTAAAATTTAGTACGAGGACCAAGCGGGTCTCTGCTGTTGAAGTCGAGCAGCTCAACCCGGCACGGAACACGGGCAGCCCGTTCGCCGGGAGGCGGAGATAACGCCAGTTCATGAGACCAGCGGTGAATGTGAGCAGCAGAAGCTCGCGTGACACGAAGAGCCACTGTACGGTACAGTCTGCACCCACAGCTGCAGCGGGGTACGACACCGGCCGTTCCTGTCGAAGTGCAAGAAGTGTGTGGTCGTGGAGCTCCAGCAGAGCAAGAAATGCAGGATTGGGGTGGTCGTGTACCCCGAGACGACGAAGTGTAGCACTGTGAGAGGCCAGTAGAGTAGCTACTCCACGTCGGAATCGGTCGATAGCTCGGGATGTGATGTGGATACGTAGCAGCGAGCGGCGGCTCGAGCTCAGTTACGAATTGAATTCGTGAGGCGCAAGTGGCTCGAGTGCGAGCAAAATGGTGCGTCGATCACGGAGCGCGTGTTTGTGGCCCAGGACTTGCAGGCCGTTGCGAGTCAAAGCCGGAGAAGCGCGAGAATGAGTCGAGTGTCGGGCGAGCAGAGCTACCTGGCATTCGTTGAGCAGAGCCGTAAGTCACAGAGCGAGTGAGCTGTTGGGTAGAGAACGACGGGGTGGAGCCGTTCGTGGTGGTGGTTGTGGTTCGAGGAAGCGGGCGACTCGGAAGGGGTAGCCCTTTGACGAGTCTGATTGTTGTTGCACGTGGGCTTGCCGGCGGTGACCAGAGCGACGGACACAGGTTCGATGTGTGCGTGACTGCCCCGGTGACCCTTAAGCGTGTCTGCGCGGTGAGCCGCGGTCCTGTGTGAGGCAGGGCTGAGAAGTAAGACGCAGTTGAGGTTGAGTTGAATACAAATAGGGGCGGACGCATCCCGGCGGCTTGAGAGCAGTCAATTACAATATCCTTTGTCAAAGGTTTGCAATATCGAATTTAAATTGAACATCTATACTGAGCTGGTATGTCGTGGTATTTAGAGCTGATTGGATAAATAGGTTCGTACATGTGATGCTGGTAAAAACGTACCTTAATGTGTTCTAAAACGCCCTAATTGTTCTGATAATATTACTTAGTTTTTTCTATTATTACTAATTGTTCCGACAGTTCATTGTCTCAACTTGCCTTCGCCGGAGTGAACGAAAGGATATGAAGCCCGCTTGCATTATCAACTAACGAAGGATAGTAATGACCAGCCGCGGATCGCTTGGCTCAGATAACCTTGCGTTTTTGCAGCTCCGACATTGTCGGGTTGGTCACGCCGCTTCAAGGATCAAGCGACGCTCTTGATTGTTTCGTTCTTCAGAACCAACATGAAGTTTGGTTCCTCGATCGACTTGTCTTGATTCTCAGTTCCTTCGCAGTTTTTCCGCGCAATAAACTTGGTCTGCACACCAGCTTCATAAGTGACTCCCATCATGAGCATTTTCTCCTCGACGGACTCTCTTCCTCTGGTATCGCTGCTCCCAGTAGTAGTACCGTCGCGCTTCGACGACTTCCTCTCGTTTTCGCCTGCTAACCCTTGTCATTCGACGCGTCTTCCTGTTGCTCGCAAGCAACTCGTGGAGCCTCTCTCTGCTCTGGGTCTTACACTGGGTCGACTGCAAACTTCACATCCATTTCCAGCGCGGCACGTCGACAGGAATCAGGTCGTTTTGCCGATAGGCATTTCGCCCGGACAGATCTCCGAAGCCCGGGGGCAATCACCGGCCCGCCTTCTATGATCAGCTCACAGATTTCGCCCGCTCGTTCCCAGCGCAAAGTCTTCAATCTTGTTCCTTCGACTCGTCGACCTCTCCAGTCGATCTGTGGTTGCATGTCCTCGAAAAATGGTATCCCAAGGATGGAGTCAAACTATTCAGGTATCGCATAGACAACTACGACACATTAATACGCATCATCTAATCCAGCAATCTTGCTACATAGAGACAACACCTCCAGTTGGGCCTCCACAATCTGGTTGTCACCAAGCTTGCCTCGAATGCTCTTCTCGATGAGCTTCGTCGTCTTCAGCTGGTTTTCTTCTACCCACCGCTTCAACACGTAGATCATGATTGCATCACAGTCTAGAAGTACCTTCGATGTCTTCTTCATCTTGGCAGTCACACTAGTATCGCCAGCGATGTCATATAGTGGACGTGACATAGAGACTAGAGGGTTTTCACTCAGAACGTTAAGGTTGACATTATCAAACTTAACTGTTCCGGTCACATTCTCCTCCACAACAGGACCCTCTTTCACTGCCGTGGCTTCTCGTTTCCCTGCTTCCCTTCCTTCTTCTTCCACGAAAGGCAGACAGCCTTAATGTGACCATGTTTATTGCAGAAGTGACAGGTACGAGTATGTTTGCTCTTAGAATTTGAGCTCGGTTTGAAACGTCCCTTTCTTTGGAAAGGTTCCCCCTTGGACGCCTTCTTGTTTTCTTGGCCTTGTTCGTTGGAGGCATTCGGCTTCTCACGACGAACCTTGCGTTCACTAACGTCCTTCACGAAGTGAGTCACCTCAAACTCGATAGACAAGCCCATGGCGTCACTCAGCGTCTCAGGATTTTTTATCTTCACGTAGCTCCGATTACGAGTCTTGAGGCCATTTGTGTAGAACAGAGCTTGGTGAAACACGCTCATGCCTTCGACTCGGAAGATGAGGGCAGAGTATCCACCGTTATAGGTCTCGATATCCGCCGTTTGCTTCAGACGCTGGACGCTCTCTCTACGCTGACAGGTAGTTAGACACCTCGAAGTGTCGGAGCACATGACCCCCACGTGTGCTCCTCCACTCGCGTAGTTGAAGCTCAGTGCAGGAGACACCCTGAATCTGGTTTTTCCATCGCTGACCCAGCGATCCCTGGTAGTCGCGGGTTTGCGTCTTCGATCGCGATCCTGTTAATGCGGCAGGCGCTCTCGATCTGGAACAGTCATTAGTGCACGTCTTCCCCTCTCTTGCCGGTGAGCTCAGGCAGGTTACCAGACATTCTCGTGTGTTCCGCCATCGCACGGTTCAGCCGGTCGATCTCAGCGATCAGCTGGGTGCTCGTAGGCATGGGCTCCTTGATGTCAGGTTGCTAAGACCAACAAGTGCTACCCGATGATTAAAACATAGGAGCTTGGGGGAGGGCACGTAAAAGTGCCGCCCCCACAGCTCAGACGGATGGAAGCTTCTAGAAGCTTCCACAGCCGCCTACATCCGCTTATGTATTAATTACTATGCTATATATCATAGTGCCACTAGCCGCTCATTTCAATAAGTCAATAATATCGACCAATCAGATACAGTACACGAATTGCCAGAAAAAGGTAATTTTCGAGTTGATCTGTGCAAACTTTACAAGAATATTAGACCCGATTCGCTGCTCGGTGTACTCAAGTGCGTGTTTTCTTTAATATGTTCTATATAATGCTTACAAGGATATTAGTTCCCATGCTTGCCTTATTGACGCATTACTGTATACTAAGGAAAAATTAATGCACCGACATTTAGGATTACGCCCTATTGCACTTTACATCGCAGTTAGCTTCTCGAGTGCAATTAAGTACTGCAATCCGCAAGGACCATGCAATTGGGTACTGCAATTTAAAATAGTAAAACTCACTTCAGCGTGCATGTACTAGATGTTTTTATAATGTCTTTCCGCTACAACACGGCTAAATGCAGCAGGTGTAGCGTTGGCAGAGTAATTGTGGCATAGCATATCTGTGGCGTCTACTCCGGACCACGCTCTCTACTTCATTCTCCAATCCGCTCGGAGGGCAAAACAGTCCTTACCCTCGCCATCCTCGCACAAGATCCTTTTTGCCACTACTACAGATAGCCCCGTCAAAGCACAAATTGCGCCGTGATGAAGGACGGCGAATGCAGTGTAGTCAAGGCTATCAGATAGCCACGTGTTGATCAACGAGGAAAGCAGGCATTAATGTCGATTATTAGGGGTTATCACGGCTGGAAAGTATGTTTGACCGGCCAATCAAATCAAATCTTCGCGTCCCTTTTTTTTCAACTCAAACCTTCCTTGAATAAGAGAAGGTTGCAAACCACCAGTGAAGATTAGCTGTGATTGGTGGAAAACCATACCAGAAGAATTGATTTGGTTGGTAATGAATACTGCCAGTAGTTACACCTATCAATCTCGTCCTTTGCTCATTCTCCAATATGGTTAACAAGAGATGGAGTGCTGAAGAGGAGTACACCCTCTTAGATTTCTTGTCTTCGCATTTAGAGATGTACACGAAGGGGGTCAAGGTCAAGTTCTACAAGAGCGCCCTCGCCACCCTTTCGCAAAAAAACTGCAACGCAGGTGAAGTCGAAGTGCATTGAGCTCGAAAGCTCATACAAGACGTATAAGTCGAAGTTAAGCCGCTCCGGTTTTGGTGTGAAGGCCACCGACCTATCGAGCATCAAAGGCAGGAAAATTAACCTCGTTTGTGAGTGGTTTTGGTAATAATTTGACACTGTGAATGGAAACATAGATGCTGCTTAAAAAATGCAAATATGTTTACGAAATGGACGAAATATTTGGTGTGTGGCACAATGTCGTTCGTCATCCTTGAACCATAAAGGAATGGGCTCGTACTTTAGCGGTGCGGTCCCGGTGAGGAGGAAGTACCATGTACAGCGACTCCGGCTGAGCCAGCGGAAGCCACCAGCGCGGCGAAAGCATCGACAGCCACTGCAACGACGGGATTGTCGCCTGCGAAGAGTGCTGGGATCGACAGTGCTGCACCAATGACCGCTACTGCATACTTTGGGTCCGCAACCACGGGCCCTACCTTGACCAGCAACAAGCGGGTCTACGACGAATAGAAGGGCTCTCCGGTGGCAAAGCCAATATCAGCTATTCGTGGTGAACGCGAGGCGGCAAGGGCAGAGCGGCACAAGGATAAAATGCTGATGCGTAAAGAAGAATTACTTCTTAAGCCACAGCAGTTCCAAAGTCTACAAGGTCGAATTGCAGCAGAAAGAGCGCAAAAATGGAGCAAATGTTTGCTCTAATGAAACAAAAAAATGAAATTGGCAGACAAAAAAAAAGTTTAATTGGAGGCTTTTCAGGCTGCGTGGTTAGCGATAAAACCGATTAAAAAATCGTTTTCAAACCACTAAACAAATAAATAATACTAAATTCTGAAACGTCTTTTGTAGAATTATTTATTTATTAAAAACCGCGACGGCGTAGCACCACTTCTTGCATACGTGTACGTAGATCTTCGCTGTCTTCGGTGCTCCAGTCTACCACTTCAACATCTTCGTCTGCTTGCAAATCATCATCTGTGGTAGGAGCTATAGATACATCAAAGGTATCGTCGCAGTCGATGCATACGTTGTGGATAATAAAGCAGGAAACGATCCTCTTGCTCACGCTTTCAACGTCGTTGTCGTTTTGAACTCGCTCTCTAATTGCGTCAAGTATCGAGAATCGGGCCTTCATCACCCCGATTGTATGCTCAATAACAATTCGCTGTTGTGCGAGCAGCCAGTTGAAAGTCTTGTTGCGTGGCTTCGAGCTTGCCGGCAGCTTATAGGGCGTTAGAATGAACGGAAAGCAGCACGAATATGCCGAATCACCTAGGACGTATTGGCCGGGATCGAAAAAGTTGCCTGGATTGTCTCAAAAGCTTCAGCATTTCTTACCCTTTCCCCTTTATTTGGCCAGCGAAGGAATTCTCCCTCCAAAGCCAGCACTGCGCAGACAGTACGATCTCTAAATTTGTACACAGAGCCTAGTCATATTTAGTTAGAAAATATATTTTGCATTCCTCTCCAATAGCAATACCTTCCGCGATACCGAAGTGCTGGGCGATCCGATGGATCGACATCTGCTGT